GGGGAGGGGGAGGGGGGAAAGCACTAGTATGGTAAAGAGCAAGTCACTGTGGAAACCAGAAAACCCGTGCTTCCTGAGCTGGAAGAGTGGTGAACACCAGTAATCCCAGGGAGAGAAGAAGAGACAGGGAGAGAACGAGAGAGCAAGAGAGACAGGGAAAGAGAGACAGAGACAGAGAGGAGGCAAGAAGGAGGAGATCCAGAGGGAAGGCAGACTTTCAGTGTTCCAATGTGATGTGACCGCCCACTGTTCCGATTATTTTTATAACTGTCTCTGAAATTCAAGTTTTGATATGTCATTTCCTGTTTGTCTTTCTTTTATAACTAAGTCTTCCCTGTTTATTTCCTTCAATTCCAATAATTAGTTAAAAGACAGCACACGGATTTTCAAGGTCGAAGGCGTCTTCCTGTTTCAGCAGTAGTCCCTGGTTGTGCCGCAGTGTAAAGGGTGTTCACTATCCGCCTTAACTTTCCGGGATTATCACAGAAGGGTAAAATAGGATGAACCTGTGATTTACTGATACTTGTAGAATAGATAACTTTTCGAGATCTCAAAAATCATACTCAGTATAACTTATCCTACTCCATCATCACATTTTTAGCTTTCGTATAGCATTTACTTTTTGTTTTCTATGTCTAAGAAGGAGGATCTTCCCCACAAATCTCCTGTGTCTCTAGAAGGCCCATGTCCTTCCACTTCATCAGCCTGCAATGCCCCCCTTTCCAGTTTCCCTGAGTGGAGTGACCGGTAGACAGTTCAGAATATCTGGTGAAGCGAATAACCCTGTTACCTTCCCTCCATAGCCTCCTTCAAGTCTCAGACTCCACATCACGTGACCTTACACATCATTATTCACCCTATGACTTGTATTTTCTGGAATAAAATTTAAACTTTCATTACCTCCTCCGTGCCCTTCACTTGCAGTTCTGAGATTTAGCTGCTTTTGAAATATTAATGAGAGGCACTGCTTTTGATTCTGGAAAGATGCCTCTGTCGCATCCACCCTGCTGTGCTGCCATTTGGAGGCCCTCTTAGCAAGAGCAACTGAAGTAGAGCTGGTCTCCTTGAACTCCTACCTTTGTAGCCATGTCATATCATCCATGGGCAACATGTGCCTCTAGAAGTAGCAGAAATATATTTAAACCCATGTAAATGTATGAGTTTTGTTTAAAAGAGGAGATACGCTATAATAGTTCTTGTCAGCACCAAACCTATTATTTCCGTAGCTAAATTTTATCATTTATGGGTCTTACTGAGCAAAAAGCTGTCTTTCAAAGCCATTCTGTATAGGAGAGATATAACACTAGGCACTTAACTTTAAGCTTCATGTGAAGGATAGGCTTAAGCAGCAAGAAAGCATCGCAAACACATGAGAAGACCTGAATGCTCAGGCCTGCACCTATCCACACTCAAAGCAGACTTCTTACCATCATTTCCCCATAAGTTCCCAGAATTCCCTCTATGATATTCATCCTTTCTGAAGGTGGTCAGTCGTCCTTCATGAATGAAGGTAGTATGTGTCTAAGGCATCGCCCCTAGAAACCACTGAGGTAACTGAAATACCATCTTTCTTTTATTCCTTTGCCTAATCATTTGCCTCTGGGGTCTACTTTGGTGGGCCTTCCACCCTTCCTTCCTTCCCTCCTTCCTTTCTTCCCTCCTTCTACCCTTCCTTCCTTCCTCCTTCCTTCCTTTCTTCCTTCCCTCCTTCCTTCCCTCCTTCCATCCTGCCTTCTTTTCTTCCTTCCTACCTTCCTTCCTTCCTTCTTTCCACCCTTCCTTCCTTCCTCCCTCCCTCCCTCCCTCCCTTCCTTCCTCCCTTCCTCACTCCCTCCCTTCCTTCCTCCCTTCTTTCCTCCCTTCCTCCCTTTCTCCCTCACTTTCTTTCTTCCCTTCCATCCTGCCTTCTTTTCTTCCTTCCTACCTTCCTTCCTTCCTTCTTTCCACCCTTCCTCCTTCCCTCCTTCCCTCCCTCCCTCCCTTCTTTCCTTTCCCTTTTGGCTCTGTTGAGAGAGCATCCCCGTATATTGCTGAACCTAGCCTGGTAATCACTAACTTCACCCAGCTGTCTTTCAACTCACAATCCTCCTGTTTCAGCCTCCAAAAATGCTGGGATAGCAGGCATGTCTCACAGCATGCCCAGGTATGCCACCTTCTAAGTATGGCTTTTAAGAATGAAATGACTATTTGGGGCGCACTTATCAGGTCATAATAAAATCATTTACATTTGGTTCCTGCATCACTTTCTTCAATAACCAGTGTCTGAAGACTATCAAGGGTAGTAGATGTACCTTAAAAAACCATGGAGAGAGATGATTTGCTGATAGGTCCTTTGATCTAAGTCACTGTATATTTATTTAGAATCCTACATAGGTGTTTCTAAGTCCTATTTTGAGTGATTTTTGTGGCACTATTTTGATAATAACTAGAACTTGATCTCTGTGGGACTCTGTTTCCTTATTTATAAAATTAAGAATTTAGATAGGAAGACCTTAGATTAGACTCAATGCTCTCGCCAATGCAAAATTTCTGCAAGTTTATTAGTAACATTATTTCAAATTGATCACAATGTAATAGAAAAATCTACTCAATCATCAAATCATTAGAGTGGGTAATGTGCTTGCCTAGCATGCACGAAACCCCAAACTGGATGCCCAGCTCTATGTAAACCCCATGCCGTGACACACAGCTGCAATTCTAGGTCTCAGGAGACAGAGGCACAAGGATCAGATGTTCAAAAGCACCTTCAGACTACATAGGATCCTGAAGCCATGTTAAAAAACCACCACACATGGCCTGTCCCTCTGATCTTCAGACTACATAGCAGGCTCAAGTATTAGGATCCTGAAGCCATGTTAAAAAACCACCACACATGGCCTGTCCCTCTGAATAACAGCGTTCTTCTATGGTTTCCATCAACAACTCTTAAGGGCAGTTGAGTCAATGCCTTGTGGGTATGTATACACATCAGATTGTAGCTAGCTGTGTGGCCAACCATGAAAGAGTCTTATTGGCTGACTCGGTTCACAAGGTCAAGGCGAGAGTTAAAAATTTGGTCTAGGAAAGGTTTGTATTTGTATAATGTTTTTGGTAATAACCTTTTAAGCTTCTTTTTCATTCATTTCTTTGACTTTATCCTCAAAAAGATCAAAGAGATAAGGCATGTTGTTGAGGTAGGAACTGAAGGGAAGTACTCAGAGGCTCGTCCAAGGTTGCCGAGATCCCAATCCGTCTAACTACAGCGTAGTTGGGCATTCTGCTTTATGAAACTAAGCTGCTGAATGCCAGCTCTGTGCTCTTTTCCTTGATAACTTTCCAGAACGCCTTAAGGAATTCACTTGACTCCTCATAGAAATTCAATGAGAGCACATAGCCAAACCACAGAGGACGCATCATTCCAGGCGCTCTGACAGCCTGAAGCCTTTAGAGCCTCTATGAGGAAGACAGAGGGAGTGCTCTATGCCCTGCCCCACACAATATTACAGTTGCGTTTTTGCTTAGTCCTGTGACCAGAGAGAAGGGAATGGAATTAGGAAATTCATATGCCTTCCTCCCTAGGGAAGACAAAGGACTCTTGTGGTTAAAGGCACATTACTACATTTCTGTTCTTCTAAAAGATCAGTGCACCTCCTAAATTCAAACCTAGCTCCACCACTCGGTTAACACATTGTGTCTACTTCTCTGAGTCTTGAACTAAGATCCAAACAGGAGGCTGTTGTGAAGACTTAATGAACTAGCTTATGTAATATACTCACCATACCTGAGAACCCCAAACCCTTTTCTACTTGGTTGATTATTTATTTTAAAATCTTAGACTACTGCCTGATGCACTTAGATATTTATATTTTTACTACTCTCAACATAAAAATCTAACTTTGGAAATATAATTTTTATTTATGCAAAATGATTTAAAATTGTCCCACAGAGTAAACTTTAATGTGCTTTATTAAATTTTGGAAAACCTCAAATGAATGTTCAAATGTTTCACCATTTGAAATAAAATTTTCTGGACTTAAAAGTATTTGTAGGAGTAGTGGTCAGTGTGCACCTTCCATAAAGTACAGCTCTGATGGGTGCTTCCTCTGTAAATGTATGTCAGAAAGATATAAAGATTTTCTTCCTTGAGAAATATATTGGCTTGTATAATGTATATGAACACACAGAACTGCAAATGCTGATGCCCAGCAGAGAAGAGTTTGTTTCTCTTACTCTCCACCTTAACTTTCAGCTTAGTCAACAATCACACAGACGAAATACCAGCCCCCACAAACAAAACTGCCAGGCTTTGTTTCAAATATCCTCCTATTTCAACCACTGCAGACACTTAAATCAAAGTTAAAGTGTCCTGAAAGAGAGCAACAGGACGGTGAAGGAAAAACCGAGTCTTTAAAACAAGACTTATTCTTCACTAAAGTCACTCTGTCAGGGACTGGCTGGGCAACACAAGCAAATCTCTTTCTCTAGGTTATGATCCCTAATATAGAAAATTATTTATATAATTGCTCTGACATTCTAATCCTATCAGTAAATTCACTTACAATTACTGATTTGCCTGCACCTTGGTGACTAGAGCTCTACTGAACAGCTTATAACTTAGCCTCATTCTGAGTTCCCAATCAGAATCACCTGACAGCCTCCCACTCCCAAGGTGTTGGTTCAGTAGTGCTGAAGCACGGTGTAAAGTGACACTTCTGACAAGACCTCTGGTGATCTGGATGCAACTGGCTTGAGAACCATTTGAAGACCGCCACTCTATAGAACACGAAAGTCGCGATGAACATCCCTCTAAGGGTAACTGAGTAGTAAAGGTTACCTCAATGTAAGTGTGAGAACAGCCCATCTGGCTTTCCAGCTCCACGTGGGTGAAGTTGACATCTATTTGCTCCCCCTTGGGCTGCATGATGAGATAAACACATTGTGTGCTGTGATCAAATGGCCCAGACAAGACAGGGAGGAGGACCTCACCCTCTGTATCTGTGAAGTTTCCGCCACATTGTAGATTGGCTAAGGAGAACAGAGGAGGAAAGGGATGGTCATAGGATGGCATTCCTGTGGCGTCCACACATTAGATCCAGTTTTTACAACCTTATCCCACCTCACAATCATATGCCCTCCATCCATCCTGTGTTAGCTCATATCTCTCATGATGATATTTTCAGTTGATATACATGCAAGACATCCCTGTAGTGCTTAAAAATTAGATACAGAGGGGTGGACTTGAACTACCTATCTATGGCTGTGTTCTGAAAATTGCTTTTTAAATACATTAATGCTCTGCCTTATTCCAAATAGATTTAAGACCCTTTGTAAAATGTTGCTACAGAATAAAATACACAACTATGCACATGAAGCAGACTGATGGATAGATGAATATAGAGAAGAGTCACATCTGGGCAGGAGGAAGGTAGAGAAGAACAGTCGGTAGTTGCAACAGCCACAAGAACTGCAAAAGTCAGCTGTGTACTCGGCCTGAAGCCAAAGCAAGGGAAAAGGGAACCAGGGAAGGTGCTCATTGTTCCTCCTAATTCTGAGGCTTGCAAGGTATTTTCCCATGGATTCTCATTAGGCACACAGTTAACAGTTGCCCAAATTCCATACATCCCCAAAATGAAAGTCACAGAGTAATTTGCGTGTTGTTGTTCTTTGTGTCATGGCATCAGTGCAATCGAAGGCATCACAGTTACAGTATTGTTCAGGAAATGAACTCTAGGAACTAGAAGACTGGCATCCTGGAAGCGGAATTCTGTGCACTTGGATTTGATCCAAAAATAAAGCCAGACACTTCCCAGATGGACTGTACTTCTCTCATGAACAACATTCTCAAAACATCAAACATCACTTGGGAATTGAGGTTCTGAATTATTCAATTGAAGGTATGTCTTATGTCTCTATCATAATGTGGATCCCATAATCGAAGGGTTAAGGGAACTGTAGCATTTTATACTGCATATACATGTATACTATATATATATTAAACTGCAGTATTGTAGTATTTAACAATGGAACATTGGGAATATAAAGAATGAATCTGGAGCTGTGCAGGAAATATTCATGAAGCCATGTCATTAGCCTAAGAAAGCCTTCCCTTTCAGCATCAAAGACCAGCTATAAACATCGCCTTCCCAGTGCTGTAGCATTTTATACTGCGTATACATGTATACTATATATATATTAAACTGCAGTATTGTAGTATTTAACAATGGAACATTGGGAATATAAAGAATGAATCTGGAGCTGTGCAGGAAATATTCATGAAGCCATGTCATTAGCCTAAGAAAGCCTTCCCTTTCAGCATCAAAGACCAGCTATAAACATCGCCTTCCCAGTGCATAGCACGCCCCTAGTTGGCAGGTTACTTACAAGGTGTGGTTAGGTAGGTGATATGGAAGCCTTTGTCAGTAATGTCATTGTCAGAATGGAAATGAACTCTAGCAGAAGGGCCTGTCGTCTGCAGTGGTGGGGTAGACTGAGAAGTACAGAATTTACCAAGAACCGGATCCTGATGGAAAGGACCGTCTCGAATCTAAAACAAAAAAGCAAACCATTAAGTTCAAAGTCATCAGTTATCACCAGCCAGGTCATTTTGGACATAAGTTTCAGATGACGTCATTTAAGGGTGAAGGCCCTGGGAAGTGTCCCTGTCACACCAGCATTGACACGTAGCCTTCAGTAAAGGGCTTGTCCTCACAGCCACGCAAGATGTCTCATCTGCTGCTGGACTTTCAACTCTGGGCTGAGTATATACTTTGAATTTTTCTCATGATGATGCTAATTTCAGTGTTTGCCTTCATAGTTTTCTCCCCCAGATATTTGTTTTGAAATGAAGAAATCCTAGTGATCTAGGAAAAGAAAATGAAGAGTTTGAAGGAAATAGGAGAATGGATGCTGGTGATGGAAAGTGATTCACAATCTGGGAAGGCTTCGCAGGGAGACGAAGCAGGAATGCAGTACAGTATACTCAGCATAACATGAGGCTGCCTTACACTGCGCAGCTTTAGCGTAGGACAGATGGCTCGGCAATAAGAACGCTTGCTGCACCTCCGAAGGACTGGAGTTCAGTTCCCAGCATCCACAACAGGATGCTCACAACAACCTGTAATTCCACCTCCAGGGTATCCAACACTCTATTCTGGCCTCCGAGAGCGCACGCGCACACACACATACACACACACACACACACACACACACACACACACTTGCACAAATGAACTTCTTAGTGTGGGTGTGTGCACATGTGCGTAGAGCTGACATGCATGTGTATTTGCATATGTGTGGAATCCAGAGCTTGACCGTGGGTGTCTTTCCTCAATGGCTCGCCACCTTTATCTTTTTGAGGCAGGTTCTCTCACTGAGTCTGAAGCTCACTGACTTGGCTAGAATGGCTGGGCAATGAGCTTTGACTGCCTCCACCTCCACTCCTCCCTGCTCTGGGGTTACAAGCATGTGGCATGGTGCTCAGCTTTTGACATGAGTTCTGGGGATCTAAAATCAGATCCTCATGGTTGTGTGCCAGGCATTTTTCTGACTGCACTATCTCCATAGCCTCCAGTTTTTAAAATTGTTTATGTATGTGTATGTGTCTATGTGTGCATGCATGTGTGTGCTAGTGCCCTGGGAGGCCAGAAAGGGTATTGGAGCTCATGGAGCTAGAGTTACAGGCAGTTCTGAGTGTGGTACTGGGAACTGAGCTCAGGTCCTTTGGAAAAGCTTGTAACTGTTGAGCCATCTTTCCAGCCCCTTTAGACTTTTTTAAAACTTATTTTTAAACTTTATTGTTTTCACATGTGTGTGTATATACACCCACACATGTGCCATGAAATATATGTGGAAGTCAGAGGACAACTTTCAGAAGTCAGTTCTCGCCTTCCACTGTGGGTTCCAAGGATCCAAATCAGGTCATCAGGCAAATGCTTCAATAGCTGAGCCATCATCAGCCCAAAGTATCCTCAGTGCAACCCCAGGTCAAAGATTCTCTCTCTCTCTCTCTCTCTCTCTCTCTCTCTCTCTCTCTCTTTTTTGGTGGAACTAGAAATTGAACCTAGGGCCTCATTCCTTAATTGTTTTTTAATCCATTGGATCGCACGATGATCATTCTATAATTATAATGTAATTGAAAAATACATACTACATAAAATACCAGAAAGTCAACAAACTGAACATATTTTTATATGCTTAATTTCTTTCATTCAAATTGCTTCTTCCATTGGTGGCAAATTCAGAGAAATGCAGCTTTGTTTCACATGTGACTGATTCCCTGAGACACTGATGAGAAGTGAGAAAACATCTCAATACTGTCAGAGTGACGGCTACTTTCTAAGGTGGTGCTCAGGAGTTAATTTGTAAGAAAAAAACCCTCATTTTCATTTGATGGAATTTATTGAATATTAATTTCCTCATAACTCACTTCTTACTATCAACATGTAAATGGGTATTTTGCTAAGATTTTCCAAGGATAAGCAGATCTTCCTGTCATTCCCAAAGGTTTTAAATCCATTATTACGACTATTAAATTACTAATGACCTCAACTTTGGAGACCTGCTTGACAGCTGCATCCTTCATTCCTCATGAATAATTCCACAGCTCTCTAACCATCTCTAGTGGACTCAGTAAAGCTCATTGTCTTTTGAGCAGTGCTATGGAGGACTGAGATTTATGGTGACAAAAAGTACAGGAACAACCGAGAACTCAAGTCTCCTCAACAGTCTTCCCAGTCGACAAATGGAGAGTGGCATTTTGGTGTATCTAACTGTGTGTGACATTTGAACGTAACAGCTTCTTTACCACCCCCATGTTTTAAAATCTGCTGTTAGTGGGAGGAAGTACCTTGAACCCCCTCCTCCCCAAGGATAATTTTCAATACTTCCCAGTGAGACTCACCCCTGACAGTGCATTCTGCATAATCATTATGAATCACTGCAGTGAGTTGTGAAATGCCCTGCTGGCTTACCAAAAACAGCTCAAGATTGGAATCTGTATTGAAGGAGGTAGTCATTACTTAGAATTTAATCCATTAATTCTGCTATTCCCACATCAGAAGCCTGAACTTCCAGGAAAGGACAGGGTAAGGCAAGACAGGCTATCTTCCACATTCACAGGGAACCCAGAAAAGGAGCAACAAAACAGTATGATAGAGATGAGGGACTTAACAAGACTTAGGCGTTGTCTGCCTATTGAGAAATATATGTTATGTTGATAACCAATAGGGGTCATCCACGGGCATCACAAACCACAGCTCCCTGAGACCTAATCATATCATGCAATGTCCTATCTAAATGTAATTTTTACCTCTAGGTAGTCTTTACTGCAGTCAGTGTGGCTCTCCAGGCTCAAGGTCCCAAAAGTAAATGTTATCAAGAGGCCAGGACTAGTCAGAATTTGCCAGACACAATCTCTTCCTGGCGGATAGTTTCCAGGGTACCCCGGAGATGTGATAGAACCGTAAGTACCAGCCAATATGCCCCCACACTCTGAAATAAAGAAGAAAAGATCTAAATTTGTATGCAGATTAAGATTCATGTAGAATTATTATAGACCCTGTTGTCAGAAAGCAAACTTCATTTAAAGAACTCTGAACAGATTATTGAATAGCCTTGTAAAGCACACAACACTTTGAGTTTTCCAGTTTCATGGTTATAAATCCAGTAGTACCAACTGAGAAATAAACGAGTCTCCCGTGTACAAGCTCTGTGCTTACAGAACGTGATATGGTGATATGATTTCAAATGTGGTACTAACTCATCTGAGAGATGGATAATGTGGATGCAGATTCATCCACATTAACTTCTGTACATGAACTTTTCAAAATCTCTGGAACTTCTGCCAGTCCCTGTTATCTTTCAATACACAGAACGCTTCTTATTTTAAAATAGCTAAGGAACACATCATTTTCAGTTGAGAAAGTTTCTTAATGCTATTCTTTAGTTAAATTATCTATTTATAAATGAAGACATTACAGTGTATATGGTGATTAAGCCACCACTCGGGAATGATTGTAGCAAGTGAACCAGACTTTTTGATGCCATCCCAGCACACCACTCCAGCTCCTTAACTGGCTGATCAGTGACTGGAGATGAGTTGTAAGAAATGTTAATGTAAAACTAAAAAGTAGAAACACTAACTAATCTAGACTATAATTAATATATCTTGAGAAAGAAATGAAATAAGGCAACATTTTATATATATGAGTTGTAACTATATATGACTTTAATTTTTAAAAAATTTTTAGAAGAATTTCATTACAGCTTTAACATGCTCAATAACAGTTTCCAGAGCAAAGCTAAATCTCTTTCAAAAGTGGCTATAACATTTTTAGGTTCTCTGTTGAATTAATACAGTTATACAATATTGAACTTAGTATAAGCCCTGTAAGACATAAAATTGAATGAGTTTTTAACCTGTGAAAAAGATCTCCATTTCGTTTTAAAATATATTGTTCCTTGCAGAAAGACTCATTGTTTTTGCTACTAACAAACTCAGAAGTTGGTGCATGCGTCTCTAATCTGTATGTATTTATTACTAGTCATAATCGGTTGTATTCAGATCCTTGGCACCTGTGTATGTCTATAAAGTCATCGAGTAAATTTCAGTGGTAATGTTTATCACTTCTACTAATTAACGTGACATAAATTTTTATGCTTCCTCCTCAGATATAATTCATTTTTTTAATTTGTTGATTTTTTTTGTGTGTATATATTTATATAATTACACATATTACTCAGGCAAAAATTTTGTTACCTGGGCAAAAGATGAAACAAATTAGTTACATGGTTCTAACTTTCCCTAATGAGAAAGCATCTCAGTTTTTCAGAGGAAGATATATTTTCTAAAACTTACTACTTAAAAATCTATTATATGGCTAAAACTCTTAAAACATAAAATAATATAATTAATGTCAGTAATGTAACTGCCTTCCAAAACAAAGTCAAACCTTTTGGGGGGAATATAATATAATTCAGAATCCTTATAACATGTCACCTGTAATGTCTTGCTCATAATAAGAACTCATTAGGTATATGCAAGAAACATGTACCCACTAATAAACAAAGCAGTGAATTTGATCAAAGCCAGAAATAATTCTGATATTGGAGCCACAAACAAAGACTCCACAGGAACTGTTATAAAACTTAGAGGAAAAGTTTGACAAAATTAGATAATGATAAAGTTTTTAAACAGAAAATTAAAACATGTTTTTAAAAAAAAATCAGAAGGAGCCGGGTGTGGTGGCACATGCCCTTAATCCCAACAGTCAAGAAGCAGAGTCAGACAGACCTCTTGTGATCAAGGCCAGTCTGGTCTACACAGTGAGCAGCTGGTCTACATCGTGAGCCCCAGTTGGGCAACAGGGAGACTTGGGTCAAACAAACAAAAAATCAGACCATGTCCTAGAAATGAAAATTGTAATGCCCGTAATAGAAAAGCCTTTACATTGTGGGAAGTTTTAACATTCGATTAGACACAGCAAGAAACAGGACGATGTGTTCCTACACATTCCGAAAGAAAACAGTCACATTGAATGAAGTAAAGAACTCATTTGAAGGGTTGGGGAATGTGGGACTATGAAAGCAAAAGATTTGGTCATAGCCTCTAGCATTTGTTGTCTGAATCCCACACTGAGGGAAGATAGAAAAAATAACAAGCAATATTTGAAAACGTATTGGCTGAAAATTTTCCTACGTGAGTAAAGGAAATCAAGTCACAGATGCAAGATTCACAGAATATACACAAACGAGGTAAATACCAAGAAAGATAGACAATTATGCATCATAGTCAGGCTCCAGAAAAACAAAACAACAACAACAACAACAAAAATATCCAGCAAAACAACAAAACAGAAATCAGAAGTAGTTAAACTGTGAGAAATGGGGTGGGGGGAGATGAGGAAAAGCAGCCAACATATTACAGATGACTTTCCAAAGAGGAACGTGGGAGGCAGAAGGCAATGAGATTACAGGTTTGAAGGGCTAGAAATGAAGCCTAAAGGTTCACGGATGACAGTATTCTTCAAAGACTATAGTGGGAAAATACATCATTAGTCCAACAAAAATGGAAGCAGGCAGCAGCAGACGTGTCATTAGACATAGTAAGGGATGGACGTAAAGAAGGATCCCACTTTGCCTCTCCTTGCAGAAAGCATAATTTTACACACAGAACAATCCCTAAAGACTATCAAAAACTGCTTAACTAATAAAACAAACTAGCAAAATAATTCAGTAAAGTTGCAGGATATACATTAACAATATATACATTAACAATGAACTATTCAAAATAAGAAAAATTAAGAAAACAATCCCATTTATAATAGCATCAAAAAGTGAATCACATAACGAGGAATTTAACCAAGGAAGTGGAAAGGTCTTTGCCTAGGCAACAGAAGTCAAAAATAACAGGCAAAAATAATACATCAAAATGTTTCTGCACACCCAAGGAAATAACAGACTTGACTATGTGATGTGGTAAAGTATTTGCAGTCTGTCTGTCTCAGTAGGTAATAAGGGATTGATGGCTAAAATGGATCACAACTTAATAACACAACTTAATAACAAGAGGGGGGAAAAGGGACCAAAAGAGACATTTCTTTAAAAAAAGCAAAAGCAAACAACGAATCCATAGAAAAAAAATCAAACTCCAGAAGCACAGCTTAGAGCAACAGTTGTCAGAGGCTGGGGCGGGGGGAGGAAATGGAGACGCTGGTCCGCAAGTACAGCACTGAAGCTGTGCTGAATGAATGCATTCTAGAGATCTCACACGGGCATGGTAACGGTAATCAATAGCATACGCTGCACAGAGGTGGAAGGGGTTCACAAGCCCCACCCACAACTAAGGAGCTACGGACAGCTGATGTCTTTGGGGTGGAGAGTCAGTTTTCTTTAAGTTTCCTTTGAGGTTGTTGACCACAGGCTTGTGGGTGGCTCCACACCCAGAAGTTTATGGGAAGCACACACAAATCGGACTTGGTAGATTATTTTTTTAAAAAAAGAGAGAGAACATGACATGGTGGGAGGCAGGTAGGGTGGATATGGATATGGAAGGAGCTCGGGGAGGATCAGGGGACGCACATAACCAAAATACATGTTATGAAGTTCTGAAAGAGGTAACAAGAATATTATATTAAAACAGACAAATGAAGA